TGATTGGCTACAAGTTTGTTTTGCGATTCGGCCCGAATCAGTTTTTAAAGCGTTTTGAAAAATCACTTACTCTGCCTTTAATCCTCAATGGCCCCATTTATATTCAAGTGATTCATCTTCAAGAGAGCTGTCCTGAAAACTGTATTTAAAAATATTTAAGCTAGACTGCTGGTCTTAACTGGTTTAAGATGGTCTCCTAGTTTGGCCAAACTGCTCAAGTGCCCAAAACACCTCTTAAACCAGACAACAGTATGACCAGGTTGGGATATATACATTTCTATAAAGTGATATAGAACTACAAGAGTGAGGCATATTACTGATTAAGGTATTATATAGCTCTATTGGCCACAGGTAATGAAACACTAGTCTTTTCTGATCAGTCAAAGAAAGGCTATGTTTTTTGAGCAGTGCATTTCAAACCTAGTTCTGAAATACCTCAAAATGACACATTTTTAATGTCTCCCTTATCTGACACACCCAATTTAGGTATCCGAGCCTCTGCTAATGAGCTGATGATATCAATCAGTTGTGTTAAATGAGAAAAATATACAAAATGTGCAGTATTGAGGGTTGAGAACCAGTAGCCTAATGAAAACCCTTTAAAACCCAGTCTGGCTGTTCTATGATCTGTCAGAGAAAGGTCATTGTATCCCTTCACTTACTCCACTTCCCAGCACAGATATTAGACAGAATACACAATGAGCAATTATGAGGCAACAATATTTTCATAAATAAAGAAATGCATACGTGTCTGAAGCTGAAAATGTAACCTTTCACATTCATTACACGTGCGCTCTACCTCGTTATTTTATGGCGATCTGAGTCAGAGTTTAGAACAGCATGCATCATATGCCCTGTCAATGACATCACACTCATGCAAACCACAGGCTAGTGTGTTTATACTGGATACTGGTCTATAAGTGTTGCTGCACCCGCAGACTCAGGATGACTTGATACCTACTTTTTTTTGACGCGTTGAGTCTCTCTGGCGGCGTGTTTCCTTATAAAAATGTCAAATTCATTCCTTTGAGCTCAAGAGCATGATATGTACACACACAGGCTTCAGCAACAGGAGCGGCCCCGCACTATAGTCCAGCTGAGAAAAAAGATGCTTCGTTATACGCCCGATCCCGCTTACCGGGGACGAAGAGGATGCTCTTCTCCTTCAGAAAGCCGCTACACGTCACATTCATAGCGTTCCTTAAAAAGATACCGTGACGATTCCTATCCAAAACAAACATAACAGTTATGCATAATTAAAAAGTTGCAGCATCCGTGTTAAACCAGGAGTTTCATTTCGGACAACTGACGGAAGGGCAAACCGTGATTCGATCTTTGCGCGTTTACAGTCATCCAGTATGCGTGTGGAGCTGTGTGGAGAGGAGTTGTGCTCATCCTGCCGGTCCTCCGGATGCTGCACCGCAGTGTGATATAGCGCGCAGTGGACAGAGGAGCCCTGGCACGCCCGGCGGTCTGTGGCACTGGGCGTAACTGCTCTCGTCCGAAATAATAAGCCAGTGTTACACTGGAGGACGATTAAAGTAGGCCTAGCAGTGATATATTGGACGTTATGATGCTTTGCTTGTGTTTGGGGGTTACATTTAAAAAATAACAGCAAGATTCTGCGCTGTAAATTGTTTGGGGTAAATGTATGGTTAATTCTGGCAGCTGTGGTTGCTAGTAACTAGTAATATAGCCAACAAATAAGAATAGCAGATCAATGTTACCACACAAACACACAAGAGACTAAACAATAAATAAACACCATTAAAAGTACCACCACCACTAAAAGTAGCTACACAACTGACAACAAAAACAAAAGAAAAAGACAATAAGCATTTCTTAAATAAAACGTAGGCTAAATGTAGTGGTTCGCGCAATGAGTTTTGGGAATGCCCCTTTCCCGCCAAAACAATAAAGTAGGCTATACCCATTATTAGCCTATCTAAATTAACAACATAGCCTATTCTCTGCTTATTCATAGGCCTACTTTTTACTCTTACAGTGTTTTACAATGAACTTCAAATATCATGGACTTAATTAAATATATATCGTTTTTTATACTGTGTACCAGTGTAACTTACGGTTACCAATATTGTTTCATTAATTTCATTAGGCCTGCTATTTTTGCAGTGCGGAAATCCAAAAGACGGGCTATTTATTTATCCCAGTGCAGCTACAGTTTCATTTCTTTTTTTGAGAACGCAGTTGTTCTTCTTAGGCTAAAAAATGTGTTGTTTATTTGTAATTGCAGACGCGCAAGGCTTACTGGGCTGTTGTGTGGTGGATTACATTACAAGCCCCTCTGCAGGAAAGTGAGGGCAGTGCTGGCCTGATGCCATTTTATGGTCACGGGACAGGTGGAGATCTGTTTTCTCATGATCCAAGAGAAAATTCAACCAGGTGCAACTGTGTCCTTATAGCCTGCTCTGAGATCTCCATATGTCCATATATAGATATCATAAGATTTTTTCGTGCAGGTTAAATAGCAAAACTTTTTTGACACCAATTCGATAGAATAGTCTGTTTTCGTGATCTCCAGCAACAGGAATGTTTTTTATTTTTTATTTTAGTGGGGCAGGAGGATCAAAGCGTATGTTAAATCTATTTTTAGAACCCCTTGCCTTTGAGATTGCTTTGGGGGGAAGCAAAGAAACGGGTGGGGATGGAGATGATGGAGACGAAAAACTTAAACAAAGGGAAATTACATCCAGCAGCATGGGAGAATCGAGTGCGCGGTCTCTTTAAATGCGGCACCTGCGCATCGGCTGCTGCTGGTGCTGATGCTGCAGTGCTCGGGTTATTCTCGGTGAAACCAACGGCGTAACTCGAGTTCAAACGACGCCGTACATCATCTATGGCGAGTACACATACTGTTGCTGTTGTGATACGCTCAATATCAGATTCACTTTTTCTACGTTAGGCGAATCTGATGTTGGGGATGGAGAGGGAAACGTAGCCTAATATTTCTCTTGCAGCATGTGTGATTGCTTTGAAGAATCTTTTCAATTATTTTTTGCTGAAAGTAAAAATACAGCTTAATGTGGAAGACAGACAGATAACCCACAAATTCTAAACTTCTAAAAATATTCTTACAATATTTTACAGCAAAAATACTTTTATTGTCCTGTTAAATGGAATAAAATTGGTGAGGTAAATTAAGACAGACAGACTTAGATAGATAGATAGATAGATAGATAGATAGATAAATCTTTAAAAGGAAATTAACTAATCTGGTTGGGTTAAGAAATTATTAAATTAAATATTTACACAAAGATAATAAGATTAGCTGCTCAGAGACTTTCTTCCTCACAGAATACTTAAAGACAGTACCTGCACATCTCTGGAGATGAAGAAACAGTGGTCAGGTTATGTTGTGGTGGTTAATAATTAATGTTTATTAATGAAAAGTACACACACTTTTAAGAGGTAAGAGAGGTCAGTGGTAAATCATAACATAACCACATAATCCTCACCCTCTAGACCATATTTGACTTGTCACATTTTACAACATACAAGAAATAATATGGTCACAGGGTCCATGCCAAATAATTACTTCTCTACTTTCAATGTTATCAGAGTTTGCACTCAATAGTTCTCAGAAACAAGCATCAGTTAATCCATGGCAAAATACTTTAGCAGTCCACACCTTTCTCAGAGGTAAGAGATAAGGCCTCGCCATAAAACTGATTATTTATTATCTAGAATTTGGCATGCAAAGAAAACCCAGAATATAAATAGTGTGTGTGGTTGTGAGAGACATTCAGAAACACTGGGCAGACTTCTAGAATGGCTCTGACAGCGATTAGTCTTCTGTGCTTTGTAGCTTTGCTGCCTTTCCCAGGGCTGGGACTGCCTGCAGACTCAGGTGAGGATTGAATTTAATTCCTTGCAGCTCTAGGATCCTAATGACATATATTTAAAGTATGAAATCGAATATACTGATGTTGGCTTTTTTGGAGACACTATTATCCACAGAAACTGAGTAAGGACCAAAAGCAGTTAATTCATAACAGTTTACCTCATTATTTGTTATTAAATTTAATAACAGGTTCTGAATGTTACTGCTAAATTAAAACCACAAATTGTTTCAGTCATGGAATCAACACAACGTTTAACAATGAATAAATTCATGATTTCATTACATTCCCAGTATAATTCACTAATAAACATATGCTGATTAAACTGAAAAGCCTCCCTGATATTTCAACAATAATTACTAACAAACTGGAGTCAAACCAATAGTATATATTATAAATGTTTCTTCACTTGGCTTATGTTCAGACAGTAACAAGATTAAGGCTTCATCTCTGTACACAGAACAGGGAAAACAGAAAAGTTTCAGAATATCTGGGATTTTTAGATAAATAAATAGACAGACAACAATTAGCCATTTGCACTTTTTCTTCTGGGGCTTTTTTTTTTTTTTACATATGTGACCTTGAGGAAGCTGAGTGTAGTTAGTTAGATTATGCTACTTACTGTAAATGTTACAATATATAGTTCATTGGCTACTAACAACCATTGAAAAGCTGGAAATATCAGGGATTTGTAAATGGTGTTATAAAATATAAAAAGAAATGTAGTCTTAAAAAAAGTAAAGATCTAGTGAAATGGTTGTCTCTGCTCTAAAATATGCACAGCACACTCTTCGTTATATTTAAAGGGGTCATATAATGCGATTTCAATTTTTCCTTTCTCTTTGGAGTGTTACAAGCTCTTG